AATGACTTGTGTCCCGGGTCTGACGAGACCAAAAATCTGAGCCCATGACTATTCTGAAATATGTTAGCGTGAAAGTTGAAATTTTACTAATCAGCCACAGAGCCCGCTCGAACGAAATCAATTATATGGAGCTAAAGTTATCCTTGCCCAAATATCCGGAGAGGCACAAGTAAAAGTAAAGGCAAATCGAAAAAATAAACAAGGCCGAGAAAACATTTACGCTTTGCTGAAGTTCAACGCACTCGTGACTTTTTACCACAGTTCGGCTGTCAATAAGGACGTAGCAAACTGTTGTACATGTGTGCTTTAAAGATTTCCAAAGTTTTAACGGACCTTATACCCTGTAAAAATAATACAAGAAAAAATATTTTTTAAGCCTATACAGAACAAACACATTATAATAGATATGGGCCCACAATTATAATGTGAAAAATAATTAAGGCTGATTTTGGACTGACATGAAACATTTGCCTTCGTCAACTTGTTTGTCGTTTTGCTCTTGTCCGATCTGCTTTTGTTGACAGGATTGTCTCAGTTATCATGCTTTGCACTTCGTATTGGCACTTCAAAAATTATGCCAACATTTTATTTCCCCTAAAGCATCCGTGACATCCGATAAATACATACGATTGGTCCGATAAAACTATCACGCTGCATGCCACTATGAAAGCACGAAATATTTTCCAGTTAACAGTTTCACTTTGCAATCGAGAGCCAATAGCTAAATATACTAATTTTCCTACATAAAACTGTTTATAGTTTTCTGCCTAGTTATCAATTCATTCGGTGCCCATAAAACGTTCACAGTTCCAGTTAGTACCTGGCCACATAAAACCAATAAAAACGAAAATAAATAAAAATATGTCATAAAACTCTTGTAAGTTATATGAGCTGCGCTTGCATAGCATAAAATGAAAATATAAAAAAATGCCGTGGGCCTGCGGCAGCGATGGGGTCAAGTGGCGCAGCGATTCCTGTTATCTTTATTATGACTCCCGCAGAGAGAGCGGCTATTTGACCAAGAGTTGCGGGGGGAGGCATCTGCCGTTGACATTTTTGTTTGGTCATAAATAAAATTGTATTCGGTCATAAATAAAATTTTAGCAATCAATAGCAACAACCCCAAAAGCGTATCGCAGGTGAGGACCGATCAGGTAACTCGCAATGTTTACAATGAAAAAACCGTATGATAAGCAAAACAACAGTTGTTTACGTGTGAAGATCTCACTTAAAGCAGTATGTGTCTGCCTGTGCGTGAGTGTGTGCCTGTAATCAAATAACCGCAAAACAGGGTCGGGATTCTGTGCAGTGTGGCAGAAAATGTTATTAAGTCCATAAAGAGATTGAATATTTGTTTAAAAAACAAAAACATTACAAAATAATTCGTTTTTCTGTTCGCGTGCGCACAATATGAATAAGTCGCAAATTTATTTGTGTTTTCCACAATCCTTTAGACTGTTGTGGGGCATTTTCAATATTATTATTTTAAATTTGTTTGGTAAGGTGCTTTAGGCTTTAGCCCAAATAAGACAGGTTTGATCCTTACACTTCGTACTCAGGCTGGCACGTTTAGCCCCCTACGCTACTTTGGAAACTCAACATTATTTTATTTTATTTACTTTGTGGTTCCATGCATGATTTTTGCTTGTATATCTGGATCATTATAAAGATAGTAACTTACACATCAATATTGGTTGCCTCCTTAAGATTTCATTATGGTAATATTTAAAGTCATACCTATTTACATTTTTTTGACAAAATGTTATACTTGATTTTCCTGATTTCTTGATTGAAAATTGCGGGAAATTTCGTTTTTCTTGAACTTGAACTTGTACTTGAGCAGGTTATGGACTGCGTTCGTGCAAGTGAGAAGAAAAGCTGTGAGAAGCCAGGAAAACGTTTGTTACAAGCTTTGGAAACTTGCAATTGCATATAATCAACAGCGAGTACTGGAGGAGTGAGTGGTATCGTAATATGGATAAAGCTCGACACTCAACATCAATTTTGTCGTCTTCAGCATCTGGTGACGGCATATTCGAAACTGGCGAGTGCTCGGCTCTGCGTTAACATTTTTCGCGCTCTCTGCATTAATTATAATTATTGCACATTTTTATATAATAATCCGTGGGCGCATAGTGCGAAGAGCCCGCCATCTGGCTGCGCTTGACGCTGCTTGGCATTCGGTTATTTATTTACAGCAGTATATTTTTCCTTCTCGCGCAGACCATAAATATTAAAGTCAACTACAGTTTGTATCTCAGAAATCCCCACGTAATTAATGCTTGTCTCGAGATTTTGAGCCGTCTTGTTTTCTATCTTGTTTTTTGACTCTGTGCACCCAAGTGGCACATTAACGTTTGTTGTCGCGTTTGCAATTTAAAGAGCTTGGATTTATAAAACGCTCACGTTGTTTAATGGCAGCTTAATGCGTTATTGGGATTAGTGACTTGAACTCTTAAGATTTGAGCGAGTGTCTTTTAAGTAGGCATTTATAAAGATTATATTTATAATTTTGGAACTATGCAACAATTATGATAAAAAAAATAAAATAAAGAAAGCGAATTAAACATTTACTATAAAAATAATTTTGCGAAGTGTTCTCTAACTGTTTCAATTATATAAGAAAACGAGAAAGAAAGGCTATCTTCGGCACGCTGAAGATCTAATACCCTTGCAAACCCAACCTTTTCATAATGCTCATAAAGCTTTGCCCGTATCTAAGAAGCACAGGGAAAATAGTTAATGCCGAGCTTGGGCAAGATATCTTGATAAACAAAATGTTTTTCATACAACAACTTAATTTTCGACCGATCATTCCTATGGCAGCTATATGATATAGTGGTCCGATCTTAATACTATTTTGCATATGTATGAGGAATTTTAGAGCGATTCCGATACTTCTTTTTCCATTCTCGATATTATAGATTTTCGCGAATTTTACGAGCTGGCGATCCCCATAATCTAATCACTGTCAGTAATAAAATACAAATGCAAATATATGTATGATATTTGTGTTCGTTTGGTGTGTAGGGGCCAATATATGTAATGTGAATTGTTTGCAGAAAGTATGATTTAGTAAAAAGAAAGTAATTTAGCGTGCTAAATTAATGTTGAAGCTTTTCAATGGCATTCACGCATTGTATTTCAGCCGCTGCTTTTCTTCTTTTTTTTTTCGCTGCCTAGGAGTGACTGTGATTGAGAGTTTTGAATGACAAGAGAGTATTCATTGACCTTTGATTGCTTGCACTTATTAACTATTTATTTCAGAGCATGCGACTTAAAATAATTAGAAGATATAATATAATTTTTGTTACGAGTTTCTATTATAGTTTTTTTCCTGGCACTTCTTATTACGAATCGAGTTCAGTTAAGTTCATATCCATTTGGAGGGGTCATTAGCAATTTCGTAGCTCTAGGCCGCCGTCGTCGTTTGCTGCTGCTCATGTGTGGTCGTCGTGGAGGCCACCGTGCTAGTCTCGGGATTCTTCTCACTGATGGCCAGCCAGGGACAACGCTTTTGCAGCTCCATGCGGTATCTGGGATGACTAATAGCATAGACAAACGGATCTATGCAGGCTACCATTTTGCAGGTGCAGGCGGGTATCATTGTGGCGCCCGGCGTCAGCAAGCTCTTGTCCCCGAAGGCGCCAATCAGCGACATTACGCCGTACGGTGTCCAGGATACAAAGAATAAGAAACAAATTGTGATGGCCGCCTTGGCAATGCGTATCTCCGCCGTTTCCTTGCTCTTGTCCACATTGGAGCGCAGCGATTCGACGTTCATTTTCTTGGCCTGCTCGCGCAACGCCTTCTCGTGACTGAATACATGGCTCACAATCTGGCTGTAATAGTACAGGATCATGCTGGTGGGGCAGAAAAAGCTGAAGAAGAAGATGGTGGCCACAAACATGCGCGTGTCAAAGTTGTCCGTCAGATAGTCGAACGTGCAGGAGGTCAAATAGCCTTCGGGCACAAAGCGACCCCACGCTTCCGTATAACAGGCTACCACAAATGGAGTGGCATACATATAGATGAATATGATCATGGCTATGGCCTTGCCGTGCGTCATTTTGCCCTCCATCGGCCGCGTGATCACATTGTAGCGATCGTAGGCGATGAACGCATTTGTTGCTCCGGCGCCGATTCCCGTGTAGGAGCCAATGATGCCATAGATCTGGCAGCCCAGGTTTCCCAGCGCAAAGCCCTGATTGAAGCTGTTGTAGATAAATATAGGCGTCTTGCTCATCATCAGAAAATCGCAGATGGCCAGATTGATGACCAGTATGTTCGAGGGTGTTCGCAGCGATTTGGCTGCCGTGAATACCCAAATGACCAGGCCATTTCCAATTAGCGACATTAGCGTGAAGAATATGTAAAGTGTACCCAGCAAATAGTTCAAGGACTCCGGCGGCTCTGGGTAAGTTTGCCAGTGCTCGGGTATGTGACGCAGCTCATCCGGCGGCACATTCCATCCCCGCAAACGTGACTCGGCCGCCAGACGCGCCTCCGGTCGAAGCACTGTCGACACATTCCCAAAGACACTTATATTATACTCCATGGCCCGCTTGGCCACATTGATGGATCCGTCGTTGCCCAAGACAAAATCAGAGTACACTCTACATGGCCGTTATATATGCTAGCCCGCAATTGGATTAGCCGCACACTAGCATCAGCATTTGTGGATTACAAGGTGGGTCCGACTAATCCCCTAACCAAATTCGCTGAATTAACTGTTCTGCATTGATTTTCCATTTCTGTGCCTAGCCCTAGGCGCTTATCGATTGAGGTGCTTCAATCTTTTATCTGTTTTTACTTTGCTTTGTATTTACTGTTTTAAAACTGTTTCTCATATTTCACTTGAACGTTATTCGATTTCCATAGCACTCTTTCGCACTGTTTATAGAAAAATGTATTTTCTTGACTTGTATACTTCTTTTATTGGGTAAAGGAATATGACTAGCATTATTTAAAAAGAACTTTCAAATCAACTTTTCAACTAATTGAACTTATTCCCAGTCGACAAATGGACTATTTGTATAGCTGCGAGGTGTACAAAGATGATGATGAACAACTGTACTAAAACAGCAGCGCATTCACAGAGCACAGCACATATAGACTGAACAACAAAGGTAAAAGAATGGTACCTTGGATATTTCTGTCGCTTGATCTTTGTTTGGGTCCGAGACACGTTCACATCCTCATACAGCAAGAGAGTAAGAAATAATCATTATTTGCAGATAAGCAGGTAACTACTTTGGTTTACTCTGATCCATATTATTTGTGCGATAGAACGACATCGCTGTTTTTATCTCGCTCTCGCTACAGGAAACTGCTTTGGCTTACTCTCAGTGCTTTTAATGCTCTCTCATTATGTATAGGGATCGCTTAAGTGGATGTATGGATATGTGTCCACACACGCAACAATGCTCACAAACTCAATTTTTTCTCAAATGTCGGAGGAATTGCTTGCCTTTAAAAGGGACGAGTAACATGAACTAATGAAAGGGTCTCCCACGTCGTATCGATGCATTGTATAGTTAGTGCTGCCAGCCTACTTATAGACATGTAAAACAAAAATGTAGCATACTTTCGTGCGTATGTGGAACTATGGTTGAGTGCGGGTGTATGCACCAACAATTTAGGTCATAAATCATATTACAAAAGTCCACAAAGGCATGCAAATACTCCCTTATAGCCCTGCCAAGCCACACTCCCCTCAACAAGGTTTTCACTCAAATTCATGATTCGAACAGCAATATATATATATATATAGGTATGCGTGACTGTACTCATGTGTTGGTATGTAAACATATGCCTACCAATGTGCTCAAACTCCCTACAAAGATTGATTTCCCTTTGTTTGCCTTTTACTGATGGAATATGTTCACTTCCATACTCATTGCCTACCTACGCGATGTTTTCTCTATCCACCCTCTACACCCACTCCCAAGTGCCCCGCCGCGTTTGGCCAATAAGCCACACGACAAGCGTGGACTCCACGGGCGGTCCAGAGTATAATGTGAATATATTGAATACGAAAACACTTGCTGGATCTGATTCCCGTGTTTTTTTTTTTTTTGTTATTTGGCTGCAAGGTGAATGACTCCTTCGGTGGCAAAATTTTCCCAGTTGACAATTCATAGCAACCGGAAATGGCTGCCAGTGCAATATAAAGCAATTCAAGTGATGAAATGAAAGCCAACTGGAGATGGAGATTCCATTTTATCTACAATTCGATGACGAATTATACGATCAACATATAACCCCTGGACAAAAAAAGAAGGAAAATACAGCATGTCTTCAAATAACAAAAACATAAACGGGATAGCTTAATAGTTTATGCAAAAGATGCCGTTATTAACCCATTCCATCAGAATTACTGTTTATTTTATTAGCTATTCGTACAAATTTCAAAAGATCTTGACACTTAAAAAGTAATAAACCGTTGGGATTGGAAAAATTGTCTTTAATGCAGGGGCATCAACATGTTTGATAATTACAATTTGTTTGGTAAGTACTGCTTACTCATAAAATTATTCAAAATTACCTTATTTAACACAATCTTAATCTTTTTTAGGCAAAACAACTTTCTTTATACCATGGAATTGTTTTTAAAGAAGTTCAGTTGTGAAAATTAAATGAATATTGAATTTTTCAAGGTTGTGCATAATCTTTTGTTTTGCGTGGGTCTCTATCGGCAAGCTAATTGTACACCTAGTTGAAGGCCAGGTTGGAGTATCGGCGACAATTTTTGTTGTTCCTGCTTCTGCCATTGTCAGGCAGCTGCTACCTAAACTGGCTGCTGCTGTTGGTTGAACTTATGCATTTGCATGCATTAACATTATTGTTGCTATTGTTGTGATTGTTGCTGCAGCAACAGTAGAAACAACAATGGGCAATGCTGCGACATGACTGCAATGCATTTTATGCATTGAAGCAACACCAGTGACAACAACAGTAAAGCCAAGAGCAACATACCCCAAAACAAGAACAACAGCAGCCCCTAAGGTATAATTTCAATTTCAACACTTTGCAAACACACCACAGTTGTGTCATTAACTATAAAGTTTGCATGCGAATTGCGTCTGCTGTTGCATAGTTGTATTGTTGCTTCTGTGTGTGCGTGCGTGTGTTGGGTGGCCATTAGTGCAATCGCTGACGGAAATGGCCGGCAGCAATGACGCCATAGACTCAGATGAGTTTAACGCAACGTCAGGTGCAGCAGCAAGTAGAAAGTACTACGTGCAACAAGCAACTAGCAACTTGCCACATTGCAAGAAGACTAGTTACCCCTCTGTCTGTTATTTCATAAAAGTTAATTGTTACATATTTGTTGCTTTATTTGCAGCTCCAATGGTCCGAGATGTATATAAAATTGTTTACTCACTCCTCTTACAATAATTGGAAAACAACAGTGAGTGATACTGACGCTTAGCAACAACAGTACCAATACAAATTTAACAAATTATGGGCTGCACATATATGTATCTTGGCTGCTGCCTGTGTAACTAGCGCGGTCTGCTTAACGCAACCCTTTGCTTAAGGACCGTGTTCGCAATTGTGATCACTCTAAAAAAGAAATCATGAAGCATTTTTCACCAGTTAATGCGGCAATTACTCAAATAATAGTTTCTATAAAATACCTATTTTCGATATCCGATTTTCAGAATTCTAATAAGAATTTACACAAATGTCAATGCATAAAGATAAACACGAAACAGCGGCATATCGAAGACGGAATACTCTTGTATTGTTTTAGTAGTAATGATGTTTATACCACAAAGACTGTGCTTTAAAACAGTGGGACATGTTTGCATTAAAAAAGGCAGACTATATAGACGCGGATACTGATAATAAGTACATATAATGGAGCCATAGATGTCTTCTTTTGTGCGTTACATAATTCATAATAAAATTTTGATACCCTGTGGAAACAGAAAACAAAAACATAAGAAAGAGATGAATTTATTACAAACCTAACAAATGTATATGAAAGATATATATATGCAAATAATTAAGTATATTCTGGAATTTCACAGGTTACTGCAGCAGCAGCAGCCATAGGAAATTTCTTACAGTCATCGGGGTTAGCACTTTATTGAATTCTATGACAGTCAGTCGTGTCGTCTTCAACGTGTTTGTATATTGTGGGTGTGTTTGTGTGTGCTACTTCTTGGCTGCACTTTATGGTCTTATTCTTTTTATTCTTGCACCTGGACACATACTTTAGTAGGCTTCGTGATGTTGGTTTTGCTCTGCCAAAATATAAGACCGAAAGAAAATTGAAGGAATATGCAGAAAGCGTTGCAGGCGAACTTAATCTTCCTTAGTGGCTTCCTCTACCAACAGACGCTAACTTCCGATTTGGGGCAATCTCGATGCGGATATATTAAACTATTTTTTCCAGCAACTCTCCGGCAAGTCAACGTTCCTCACTCACTCGCATTTCAGCCCCTCATTACATCATATATTTACTAGTATAACTTTCAGTTGCGCTTTGCTCCACCTTTCTTCCTTGGCTTTGGCATCACTTCCGGCCAGTGGCTCAGATATAGAGGGCGCGATAAAATTGCTATCCGGGACGGCTTTCAACACAGCCAGACAGAATTCACAGCGTAGTACAGTGTGCGGTGCGTAATGGTAAGATTAATATTTTTCAACATTAGGCGGTCGCCACTTCCGCACCTGCTCTATAAGAAAATGCTTAACACCCATAAACACACAAACGTGTATACTTATTTTTTTATTGTTTAGCATTTTATTGCACACCAACTTAATATTTATTTTAGATGTGGGTGTGTTTTTCACTTTGCCCTGTGGCAATGCCAAACACGACTGACTCTATGAGTTAGTAAAAGTTTGTGTAAAAGTGTGCTTGTATCAGTATAAAAGCACGCACGCTAACACACTTTTTCTAATTGACTTTGCCTTTTCCAAAGCAGCTACATTTGAATGCTCAACAAACTTGAATGGTACGTTTCAAGGCATCCAAACCAACAAAAATAGTGAAGCGCACACGCAAACACATACAAACACACTGATATACTTGCATTCCCAAGCTTTTGTTTTGCTTTATTTTCTGTGAAAAGCTTTGTGCACAATATTGTAACTTAGTAAAGGGGTTTTGTGTTTTATCTCGTTTGTCTAAAAAAAAAAATGGATTCTTTAATTTATGTTGCACTGCGACATGTTTGTCACTTCTGTTTGTCCAATTGAAATTGGCTTCATTTTGAGGGTAGACTTATATAGACCACTGAAGGGCAAATGAGAGCTATATCATTTTTATTCAAATTGATATATTCAATCATTCTCCACTTAAAGATTAACAAATTTGATTTCAAAATTGTATTAGAGAGAATTATAAGATTGATATACTGACAAGGTCTGTTCACAATACATGCAAATGCTTATGAATTATAACAATAAAATAAATAATAAGCTGTAATAATGATTGTGTAATATTGAAATGTTTAACGGCATTATAAGCATATCATTTTTAAATATTAAAGCTTGTTTTTTAAGATAATTTTTGAGATAATTCAACAATTTGCTATCGATTTCATTAAAAATTTATGATCATGATTTTTATCAACATTTGAAAAGGATACGATCATCATTGATAGCTCTAGCTATGTTATTACAGTGTTACTATCTATGTTAATAACAACAGTTTTATAAGTAGATTGTAGATATGCATATTTATTATACTTTTATGAGGACAGAGTATCCAACGTATGTTGTACAGAGTATCCAACGTATTTTTAATAAGACTTACCAGAATCCATGTTCGTTTTCGGATGTTAAATAAATTTTGAGTTAATTACATTATATTATTTTATGCTTTAGGCGGCTCATGTTCGTCTTTTTGGAATGCAGGCTAATTGTATCGCGGGCTTGCGCAAAAAGAACGTGTGTATATAGTTGATTTAAGCTGAATATTAAAAAATTTAATTTTCTAACGACAAAAAATATCTTGCAATCCTCATTACGTTGGGTAAACAAGCTTTATATTTTAGACGCATATTTCTCAGAAATATAATAATTTTGATTTTTATACTGAGATTTAACGAGAGTTCAACAAAATTGACAGCTCAACCGATAGGTGGGTCTCTGCTGTCTATATCATTTATCCGACTGTTTTTGTATTGTCAAACCAAATTGCATTGAAGGTTTGCATGTAGGCTTAGCGCCTATTAGCATGTTCTTGTTTTTTATCTGTCTATATCATTTATCCTGCTGTTTTTGGATTGTCAAACCAAATTGCATTGAATGTTTGCATGTAGACTTAGCGCCTATTAGTATGTTATTGTTTTTTATTGTTGCCAAGAAAACGGCAGATGCCGATCAATAGTTTCCCGGGTTTATCCACGCTGTGCAACAGTTTGTTTGTAAACTGCAAACAAAAGTTGATAAAAAAAAAACTTCAAAATGTACTGTATATAAAAATATCATCAAAATACAGAGTAAACTAAAATTACAATAATTTGAAGATTTATAATGGCCTAAGCCTACTGCGCAAATGTCTACAAAGTGATTATTTTAATTTACAAAAACGAAAAAGTGATGAAAGACTGACTAGCTGCCCCGAGCAGGTGGGGAAGTTCTCGAAATGTGAGGGAAGAGATTTGAATATGAAAATATTATATACTATGAAATATTTCCTCTGCATTTATTGTTAGTGGATGATTTAAAAATTAAATAAATGTGTTTCGGCAATTTTACAAATTCCAAGTGTGTAAAATAAAATGGTTATACTTAAAAGATACCAAAGCTCAAGTAGAGTCTTTAGAAATGTTATTTATTTTAGCTCAAGTTTAAATATTATTATTATTTAAATTTATTTATTATAAACAACAAACGAAAAGAGATTTCTAAATAAAAAAGGATTTCCAATAAAACTGTTGCAAATGGCGCAAAAAATAAATATTTCAAAATTGTTAATTCCAACATGTATTGAGAATTGAGATAACGAATATGTTCTTATAAAAGTATATCATATACATAATTGAGGAGTGTGAGACTGTCCAATATTCAGCATCAGATGCACGTTCCAATGCAAATAAAGCCCAAAGCATTTGTTTGTGGTTCTTTTTCTATCCGTTGATTTATACAGTGCGGTCTCTTTCTTTGTGCTGCCCCTAAACAAGCCTCCTGGCTGCTTAGCTGAAAATTTTTGTTTCTGGCTGGTGCCAACAACGGCAAGCCAAACAATTTTCAATTTGAATAATTTTGCGGGCATATCTTCAGCGGTTTTTATTATACCTTATGCCCATTAAAAATTGGCAAAAGGGCATATGGCAACTGAAGGGAAAAACACAGCAAAATTTTGTATAAGTTATATATTCTTGATCAGTTTCAACATTCCAGGCGTTCTAGTTAACACTCTCTTTGCCTGTCTGCTCATATACCATTATAAAATTAAAATTTAGTTTACATTAATTTGTTAATTATAATTAAATAACCATCGTGGTTAACTATAGTTTAGTCTATTAATTTAAAGACAACTCACATATTAAAAGATATAGTGCTGGGATACAGGGTATCTTTTAGTTGTGATGTATGACTCGTTAGAACTCTAGATTTCATTTAACTGGAAGTCCAGGGAGCACTTGAATAAATATCATAAAACAAAAAAGATAACTGTAAAA